TCGATGACTATTTTCTGACGGACTGTCTCGGGACCCTTTCGTACCGGCGGACCGTCGACGATCTAACTCTCTTATACGACCACTCCTTTGTCCATAGGGTATCGAGATTGTGGAACAATCTTCATGAGAAGACTTCCCTCAGTTCTACTATTATGCCATATTCCAAAGGAAGCGATGCTTTGAAAGTTTCTGATAACATTGATGAATTTACTAACTACACCACTTTAATTACATCAAGAGTTTCACGCAGATTTGAAATTCATATAGCATCAACCTGTATAATCTTACCCATGAATTAAGTTATCGTCAGCCACCCTGTAAGCAGGATATAATAACTTTTAGTATCTGAGCAATCCCCGTGGAGCATAAAGGAACATCCCCACTAATTACCTCGGCAAATCCGTTAATGAATCTACCGCTTTATAACGATTTTCGCTCTCATTAAAATGGTCGCGGCAGCGTCGCGGCGAAAGCGGCAAAAGCTTCGTCGTCACAGCGCAGTGGCGTCGCAAGACGTCCTGGAGATAGTTCATAACGGATTACGTTCGGCATGAGGAAACGAATATGAATTACAAAATCATTACATGCACCAAGCCAGCCAAACAGGCCAACACAATTAGTCCATAGATCCCACTCTTTTGATATCGCTATATATTTATTCTCTGTCCTACCTAAAGCATCGACCATGTGGCAATGATGCTGAACCACACCAATCCACTATACCAGCGTCAGCCGTGATATAACTCGGGGTCGAGAGCGCCAGCGATGCAATCAGATACAGACATTGGTTGGTGCAGGATCAACCGGGGCCGCGTCTGTAAATCCTGTAAACATATTAAAGGCAGAACGTTAAGCTATACTCTCCCTCAGCCACTGCCACCCCCACCCCAATTCTTAACCGCTACAAAATATTTTTTGGAAATGGTCAGGAGTCTCTGGGACGTCAAAAAACAAATTTTAAGCGATTTTTATATTCTTCGTCTCTTGTCCCTCGCTTCGCCGCCACTGGACCGATTTTCAGAAACTACAAAGCTTTTCTGTAATCTAGTGTGAACGTTTCATCAAAATCCGAGGCACAGGGGTATTACGTTTCTTGACAAGTGACATTATGTCGAGTTTTTTTTAAACATTATAGATGGTTTTTGTGATATTATGTAGGTTTTTTTATAAAACGTCAACTTAGAACTAGCTGTTGTTCACTTGATGTGCACTCGTTCTTGGCTCAAATACACTAAGGTACCTACATGAGATGTATGCAAAGCTAGACATTAGTTGGGCATCCACTTTTTAGTATTTATCCTGGAAATTACATATGCAAATTTGCTGGATTTCAAAAATGAGAGACATAAAAGAAATCCCTGGTTGGTGAAGTATATTACAACCAACACGTGACAAAATACGCTACATATAGGCATATTTATGAAATGTTTTACATAATTTTTTTATTTTCAGTCACTTAAATCATAATTTATAGCTTTGAACATAACCTCTCTTCCGAAAGGACAACACATAAATAACCCGTCTTGTACAGCTTATAGATATACATCATGAGCAGCATATTCAGTAATAATAATAGTAATAATTATAATAATAATAATCTAGATGTGATCTTGCACCTCAAACAATTTTCTTTCAGTTTCATCTTCTCAGATATATACTGACTATCTCGGCATTCTGCAATCAACAAGTCAGTTGACTTGCAGCTTGGTCATTGAGCGTCTCGTTGACTTATTCATCCATATATGACGATCACAGCAGAATGAACTATATGCACACTAGGAACTATTTAGTCAGCAAGTTGACATTCTGTCGGTTTTTTGACATTATATAGGTTTTTTTCTGTAATAAAACTGCTGTACTCCCCAAAATCAGTGGACCGACAGACGGAAATCAGTGTCTTGGTTTTTCGCGATGTAACTGTGTCTATTTCTCCGACAATGATGTGGGAAGTAAAGAAGAGGTAACACGGGCGTGAAACTTTTTATAGGATGTAGGATTCCATATTCTACCAATGATGGTATGAATGAACCAGCTACTACAATTCTTAGATCTGACATCGCCACTGTAAACTACAATATAGACATTTTCAGTTGCAATATTAAGGGCGGATTGCACAAACAATAATATTTGATGGTCACTTGGATCTTATCGAAATGTAATTTGACGGAACCTGTCAAAGCTCTCTGAATATCAGTGATTTCTATTGAAATATTGAATAAAATCGAGAAAAAGCGATTGTGATATAAACAAGAACACTTTTTGATTCCAACATGATGCTTTTGTACAGAGAAAACAGGACAACTTTCATGTATTTTGATTTCTCTTATAAATTTACATTTGACAAACCGTTATCCACTTAGCACTAATTTCAAATGTCAATTCCGATCTTCTTTGGTCTATTCTCCTTCTCCAACGTCACTGCAGTCTATGTTTTGTGGTGACTTGTTGTGTTATTTGTGGAAAATGGAATTTTGGAAGAACAAATTTCCGTATAAAAAATGCTCCCTTCAAGATTTCTTTTGTGCAGAATTACATAATACACTGTCGAATACACGTTCAATCTGCAATAACCCTTAAATACGTGGTAATGTTGAGTGTACCATGTACCATCACCGATGGTGCGACTGATTATACACTGAAATCATAACAAAAAACTGCATCTGCAATTTTATGTATGAATGTTGAAAATCTTGAATAGTTGCGGACCAGTGGTATTAAAATGTCGTTGAGGAACTGGAAAGAAGTGTATGAATGTGTTGAAACACAACACCTAATTAAAATTTTAGTGAAAAGGGTTTGGAAGCGCAAGCTTGCAAATGTAGAATAAACTATAAACACACGGTAGGTGATGTTAAGTTAACATAATCACATATGGATTACAAAAGTTGCGATAAACATGGAGAAACCTTCAGCTAAACTGAAAAAATGGATTTTACTCAGACATCAAGCATTTTTAAAAAATTTTGGCTCAGTTTTATATAATTTCAGAATATTTAATAAACTGAAAACATTTCAATGTCAAGCTGTCACTTCATATTTTACAGTGTTTTGTTTTGAATACTTTGATGCTATTTGCTGCCAAAACTTTGACGGTGAGATCTTGAGGCTGATTGGATATATTTGACGGACTGTTTGGTACTCGTAGCCCATTGGTGCAAAATAATGGTTTGTTTAATTGTGAAATCCACCCTAAGCATATCAAAAAGCACATGAAAAACATTTCCAAATAACTTTAGTTTGGTAGGTTTTGAATATAAATGGGTTGGGTATCACATGAATCTTTAGTTCTTCTTCAGTTTAATAATTTATATAAAGCTACTGTAATCTCACACATAAACGTAATGTTTTTTTTTGGTATGTAACGGGGAACTGTAAATAAATAAACAAACTGAGCGATTCACATCGTAACACATTATTTTTACCCTGCAGTGCGAAGTACACTTGATTAGCTACTTGAATATCTTCTCGGGAGAAAAAATGTACGAAGAAGTTTGTCACTTTGGTTGGCAAATTAGCTTGAAGGGGGGACAGGGGAACAGTATAAGTTTGAAATCCTTCGAGTCATTTGGTTGTCCGTAGTGCCTTTTTGGTGAAACAGTGTTTTCTATTGTATGCCAAAAATTAGTGTCGTCAATTTCGAGCAACGGTGTGCTATCCAGTTTTGTCTTAGACTTGGGCACAATATAACAGAAACTCTTGCTAAACTTCGGGCCTACGAAGGTGGTGTTTTGTCAGGAGTTCAGGTTTTTAGGTAGTTTAAGGCATTTTCAGAAGGGAGAGAGTCGATTGAAGATGAACCACAAAGCGGAAGGCCTTCATCTCCAAGAACCGATGAAAATATCGACATAATCTGGGATCTGCGTTCAGATAGTCGGTTGATAGTCAGAATGATTGGGGAAGAGTTAGAGAATAAAAACATTCCTGTGGCTCCTCAGCCTCCATATTCGCCTGAATTGAGTCCTTGTGACTTTTTTCTCCTCCCGAAGTTGAAAAATCACCTCAAGAGAACTCATTTTGGGCAGTCTAAGACGTTCAAATGTTCCAGCACTGCCATGAGGAGTCGAAGAACCGTCTTCAGCGCTATATGGCTTCAGAAGGAAGTCATTTTGAGGGTGGCAATATAAAATTGTAATTATATCTGAACAATAAAACTAAAAAAAATCACACTTTTCACTTAATTTACAGACCTCGTATGTACTCGTACGTTGGTTATTTACCAATAACCCCCGACAAAACCTGTTGCACGCCATTGTAGATTACAGCGTTCCCTTGCTTAGCTGCTCTGTGCTGTCAAATTCGGTAACAAAATGCTCCCTGCGGAGTCGCTTTGTCGCTTACAATTTCCGGCAAAATGGCGGCTGTGCGGCGAGTGCGCGGCTCGTAATACGAGACTACACGCCAACAAGGAACGGTAACCGCAGTACGGAGCACAGAGTCGAGATGATGAAAAGATACGGTTATTGCCGTTAACAGCCGAAATGCCGGTCCCCAATCAACCAATCGCATGGATGTTCCGCTTCAGAGGCGTTGGCTTAAAAATGAACAGGTTTCAGAAAGTGGTGTTAAGTAGGTTGACTCTGACAGGCGAACAACAAACGCTAACCGCAAGCAGGTATAAAATGATACGGTTGTTGCTGTTAGCAGTCGAAATGGCGGTTCAAACTCATCAAATAGCACGGATGTTCGGTTTCGGAGGCGTTGCTTGGAATTGAATCAGGTTCCAGAAAGTGGTGTCAAGTAGGTTGACTATGAAACATACGCCAACGAAAACGGTATCCACAAGCAGAAGTGAAAACATGCTGTTGTAACTATTAACCCTCCGTCGCTCGAGCCTCATTCTATTACACCATCGCTCGCGTGCTAGATTTTATCTAACATTCAGATGTTCAATAAAAAAGCTATTTTTACTTGAATTAAATGTTTATATTGTCAAGTATACTATTAAGCTCATTAGTGAAAAATTATTGTTATAAACGATAACAAAAATACTAACGAAACACTGAAAATTCTTCATCTAAAATTTCTGAACTGAAGGTTTCTTCTTCTGATGTTTCATTCTGGAATCCTCTAGAGCTGAAGGAAACCCTAAAAAAATAAATGCAGGGTATATATTGAAAGCGTTTACATAAATGCTTTACAAAACACTTACGCACTTTAAACATTCTCGTTACGTCCATAGCATTCACGACAGGTCAATGAAGTTATTGCTGTATGTTCCTTGCATATCGGTGATCTACAGATTGAACAATTTCTCTGAGTGAACCTGTTTTTTCTCAATGGACAGAAGTCACATTTCACTTTGGCTTGAGTGGCTTGGTCTCTATTTGGGGTAGGTCTTTCTCCAGTTATGTTTCTAATCTTTTGACTAAGTAGATAAGGCAGACTTGGAATCTGAGAACGTCTGTATAGGTGAGGCATGACAAGCAATTTACTAAGTTCCGATATAAATTGTCTTCTGGTAATAATATTGTTTGTGTTCTCTCGATAGATTATTTGGCTGTTGATGGTTGATATATTCAGAAGCCCACAGAATACGGTATATGGCCATCTATTACTGAATCGTGCTGTTGAATATTCGAATTTCATTTTGTCGACCACATCTACGCCTCCTTTCGTCTGTAATAACTTCGGGCTTGAAAGCATCTCCAGTGTGATCGTCGATCTTACCATCATCATGCAGGGTTGATAATAACAGCACGTTTTTGTTTCGCTTTGGTACATATGAAACAAGAAGGCACTTATTGGGGTTTTCATCCGAGTCTTCACCATATGCAAACAGGCTGCTTTTTACTGGTCTATTTTTCACATCTAGAAGTTCTCGAGGAATTTGAGGCTTATTTTTGCGCATTGTTCCTATTGTAGTTAGTCGATGGTTTACTAATAAGCTATTAGCCAATGGTACTGAGGTGAAATAATTGTCAGTGGTTACATTTCTTCCTGTACCACTAATTGGCTCTATAAGTCGCAATACAACACTCGCTGCGTCATTTTTTAGTTGAAATGGTCCCTCTGGTTGTTTACCCGCGTATATTTCAAGATTTGATGTAAAAATGTTCTGGTGTCTACTAATCCATAGATCTTTATGCCGTATTTGTCGGGCTTGTTGGCTATGTATTGTCTAAATCGGCATCTGCCCCGAAATGCCTCCAACATTTCGTCAATTGTTACGTAAAATCCCGGAGAATAAGCTTGTTTACAATTAGTTACGAATGTTTAAAAAAATTGGCGAATCGGAGTTAGATTATCAATTTTAGAAGTCTCATGTCGTTTGGTGGCATCATCAAATCTAATAGATTGAATCAACTGATGAAACCTTTTTTTGGACATAGTAGCGATAAAGAAGTCAGGTGCTTTACCATCGGTTTTCCACATTTCTTCAGGGTCGAGGTGTTGGGCTTTCTTTACGCAAGCCATATAAAGGATTCCAGTAAATGCTAGTATTTCGTCATAGTCAGTTGGAGGACAGTCTCGGGGGCGCTGATAAGATTCTCTCATCAAATCTAACTTCAGATTTGTATATTTTACAATATCATTTATCATCGTATCTGTAACAAACAACTTCCAGCAGTCTATAATGGTTTTTGCATTTTTTGCAAAACTTTTTACTCCAGGCAGTTTTGTAACACGATTATGGGCTTTTGTCTTGCCTTTGGGTGCAGGTGGTTTTTGTTTGAACCAAGGTGTTTTATCTTTTCCGTAAAATTTAGGTATACCATCAGTCAAGATCTCTGGAGGTTCAGGAAATATCCCAACTGTTTCATCTCCAGACTGTTCTGTATCTGTGTTATACTCATTATGCTCTGAAGGCTGATCGCTCAGATCATTATCGGAACCAACCAACTCTTCGTCAGTCTGAATCTCTTCATACCATTGCATCCACTGCTTTTGAATTTTTTCATCCATGGCTATACTGAAAAAAGATATTTGATAAGTTGAAAATAATTAATAAAACAATAAAACTTACCGAGCCACTAGTTATACCAAATTTACTAAGGATAGTTTATCCAGAAATCCGAAAACTTTACACACGCCGTCACTCGCGTCGTTAGATTTTATCTAACCCGCGGCCGAACGCCATCACTCGCGTGCTAGACTGGAACTAACATATGCAATTGCGGCACTAGAACAAAATAGCTCCCCCCCACGACCACAGGTTCACATAGTAGATTAGTTTGAAGGAGTACTCCTAGATGGTGGGCCTGCTAAGCCGTGTAATTTCAAATTTATGAGAAAAATTTAAAAAATGTTAGATTTTTTCTAACGGTGCGAGCGATGGAGGGTTAACAGCCGAAACGCCGATCCCCACCGTTGTTGCGCTTGAATAGCTAATTGTAACCTCAAGCAGAGATGAAAATATACAGTTGTTGCCGTTAACAGCCGAAATGCCACCCTCAATCATCCTGTAATGGTATAACAATCATGTTATTGTAAGAAGTGAGTGATGTAAACTCTGGCGCGTAGTGTATAAATGTATAGCAAAACAGGAAAAGCTTAAGTATGCAATAGTTATGGTGTAAGCAGGAAATAGATTGAACTTCGGACAATAAAGTGCATTCACTTTGAAGACAACATTCTAAACCTTGCCACTTGACACCCATATCTCCAAGTATATCACATGGTGATTCTGCCAGGCTTTCAGAATCAGATTCAGATGAAAGTCTTGTGTAGATAATTTTATTTTGAGGTATGGTGTTCCTAAAGGAATTGAAACGGACAAAGGCACCGAATTTCTATCCAAAATTTCTAGAGAAACATGTCAATTACTCGGTATTAAACAACTGAACAGCGTATCATCATCAAACGTTAGGCTCCCTAGAAAGCTCTCACAGATGTTTAGGCAATTATTTGAGAATCGAAGTTTCACAGTTTTCAAATTCCTGGAGCTCATGGGTAAGCTACTGATGCTTTTTCTACAATGCCACAGTCCACACAGAAACAAAGTATTCGCCATTTGTACTTATCTTTGGAAGCAAGTGAGACTTACATGACAATTGATCCTATATACAATTTTGATCATTATCCCTTAGAAATGAAATATGTATAGGTTACAAGTAGCATATAATGATGCTAGGAAAAATTTGTTATTATCAAAGATTAACAGGAAATATACGATACAAAAACGAATCCCTATAAATATACGAAAAAGTGTTTAGTGTTAATCAAATCCGAAGTAGATAACAAGTTATAGCCAATTTATAAAGGATCTTATAGAGTGGAAAGTTAGTGCTCGTATAATAATTTGTGCTTAATTTTTTTTGTCGTTTCGCTGGCAAGTGTAATGGTATAATAATAATATAGCCAGTTAAGTGGCTTAGTCTACAAGTGTATAGCAAAACAGGAAACGCTTAAGTCTGCACTAATTATCGTTTTAGCAGAAAATACGAGTAGATTGTATTTCGGACAATAAGGTGCATACACTTTGAAGACAACGATCGAGTATGTTTTCTTAATCCTGCGACTTGACCATCCCTATCTCCGAGTATATCACAATCCAGTCGCTTGGATGTTTCGCTTTAGAGGCGTTCTTTCCAAACAGAACACGTTCCAGAAAGTGGTGTTAAGTAGGTTGACTCACATCCACACGCCGCAAAGCGAAGTGCCGAGGACAGATAATGAAATGATATGGTCATTGCCGCTAACAGCCGCGCCACTACCACTGGCCCTCTAATCAGACCATAACGGGAGTGATCTACTTGAGTAAATATTGCTCAAAAACACATTTGGTTTATGAAGACAGTGTCAAGGTCAAAACTTATTTCCAGCCTTATTTATAAACAATATATTGCTGCAATCGCTAAAATTCTGAAGAAATTTTTGAAGTTTCTAATGGAGTATACCAGTGGCGCAATTAGGGGGGGCATGATGTAATGCCACAAATCAGCCCTCCCAAACGCGATAGTCACAAAATAGTGCCTTGAGGTTACCTTATTCTTATACCTACTACAAAGACGACTTCTTACCTAATGGACTTAAGGATGCATCTATGAAACTCTTCGAAATGAACTGAAACCAGAAATCTTTCAATCAGTAGATACTTTGTCTCAAGTGGCAATAACGTTGTCAGTGATGTTTGTCACGTGCGAGAGGTCATTCTCTGTTATGCGGATCATTTTGAATTGGCTACGATATTCTAGGGGCGAAGAAAGATTTTCTGGACTTGGATTGTTATTTATCGAAAAGGACATAGAAATAAATTTGGAAGACGTGATTGATAAATATGCATCGAAAAACAGAAAAATAAATTTAGTGTATTGAATTTTAAGTTTTTAACCCTTTTGTCTGCTGGTCCATCTGCCTCTCTGTGCACTTAGGAGGAATTTAATTTAAAAGAACATGTTCCTGTTTTTAAGTTGTTTTTAGTACCAATTTAAGTTGTTTAAGTTTTAAACGCGATATATTTTTTACTTACATGTTATGTAAGCATATTAAAATGTCTTTTATAACTTTGTTTTTTTAACTAAAAATATAGATTATATCGAAGAACAAAGTTGATAGCAGAGGATTTCCATCAGGCATTTGTGAAATACGTACTGTAGTAAGTTTTGGAGATCATCATGTACTGTCACCAAATCGACTCATAGAGACACGGGGCTCAAGCCCCCCCCCCCAACAATTAGCAAGCTAGTTGCGCCACTGGAATATACTCTGCAAGAGGTACCGATTATACTGTCCTACAAAGCTTTTCATTTTCAATATTTAGCTTGGAAAGTACTTTTTGATTAAATTTTTACACAAGGTTACTATTATGCCAAGGACGAAAAATATTTGTAGTTTTTGAAATCGGCCCTGTGCAGTGGCGCGTATAGGCCTGTTTGACTGTCTTGTCCGTTTAATTTCCCTATACATTTCTGTAACTAATTTTTTCTCAGATGGCTTAACCTGTTCCAACCTGAATCCTTGATGAACTGATAACGGCGTTGCGTAGTACACTCAACCTACTTGACGATTTATTTTTCTTTCTGATCGAGAGAAAGTATAAGCTGTGAAGCCCTTGGTAGACCTGTAACTGGAATATGTCTGATCCAGAAGCGTGTGGGTGTTCCGCATTTTGTCTCCATAGCCTACGCTACTGTTATCAAATGCATAGATGGTGTAGTTAGCTCCCTTTTGTTCTCAGTAATAACACGGCGCGACGGCGAGCAAACTTTCTGCGCTTTAATTTTAATGCTGTAGGTGGGTTGAGAGGGAAGGCGAGAGAGGAGGATGATGGTTAGCGGTGAAGTTCAGCAACGAACGAGGTGAATATTGCTGCTGCTGTGGAGCACTGTGCTCACCAGCATGGTCTATCTCTGCACACAATCCTCTTTGTTCCGCTAAATGTCTGCTAATTACGAAATTAGCTACTCTCCGCAACTATGCTGACACGGCGCTGCTCTCGCTCGGCGTACGCGATATTCAGATTTTATAACTACTTATGCAACAACGGGGTTTGCACGGTATTAGAGGAAGCTTGAGTCGTGGAGTTACGTACCAGGTGCTCGATCAACGTTAACCGATTTTGGACGGCCGGTAAAATATCGACCGATTTTTTATCGGTAGGCTCTGCTTACACACGCGCCGGTTTTTTACCGGTGTAAGCAGTACGCAGCAAACTTGGCTCCGTGCTTTTCTAGTAGCATTTCTGCCTTTAAATATGTCCAAAGTTTTATCCCATAAAACGGGTCTTGCTTTCACTAGCGCAATTAGTATGTCATTATCGATGTTCATCTCTTTATCCATTGTAAACGTATATGCAGTCGTAATCACGGCCATTAAATAATAGGTGAGTGTGCAAGCTCCTATTCAAACACGTATGGCTCTATATTCCCGGTACCGGCGCATCACAGTCTGCTAACCGGCTCTTTTCCG